GCTGACATCCATGTCTGGAATGTGACTTTTGGCAAGACTGTAGATGTCTGCATTAGGGTTTAGCTGCAGGGTATGGAATGGGCTTCCTGTTGTCTGGAGCTGATTAGGTCCATGGCTAATATGTCCTCCCTTTGTAAAAGACAGTAAATTGCCCTTTAATGTATTTAATTCACTTTGAAATTTACTAATATTCTCCATTTGTACCGGTGCTGGTTTTCTTGCCACTGCTGTAGTTTCTCTTCTTGCTCATTTTATTTCTCCTCCAACCACTGCTGTAGTCTCTCTTCTTGTTTCTTTTCTTTTTCCTCCAACAACTGCTGTAATCTCTCTTCTTTTTTTGTTTATTTTTTCGTTGTTCTTGTTTCTTTTGCTGTTCTTGTATTACTACCATCAAATCTGCTAAGCTGAAGTTTGATTTGCCACTTCTCGTTTCCAGTTTCTTCTTTTTTGTTCTTTTCCGTCCCAATCTCTGACACCAATTTGTTGTGTATCTGCTTGTTTGTTAATTTCCGGTAGAAATTATTTCCGAGGAACTTCAGCGCGCATGCTCCCAGCGTCACGTGACTTTCGCTATTGTAACACCGGTTTTTAGCATTATAAGCTTTCAGACTTACCCCTTAGCCACTTGGGTTCGTCAAAAGTTAGACTTACCAATTAGAAGCCCAGTACTCTAGCGAGTTTAAGTATAAACCACACCTGGCAGTGCCTGATAGAATATTTGACAAAATGCAATAATTGAAATAGTGGCAGCTATAACTTGTTTGTTTGTTTGTTTTTGAATTTCACGCAAAGGTACACAAGGGCTATCTGCGCTAGCCGTCCCTAATTTAGCAGTGTAAGACTATAGGAAAGGCAGCTAGTCATCACCACTCACTGCTAACTCTTGGGCTACTCTTTTACCAATGACTAGTGGGATTGAGCGTCACATTGTAACGTCCCCACGGCTGAAAGGGCGAACATGTTTGGTGGGACGAGGATTCGAACCCGCAGATTGCGAGCTGAGCACTCTAACTACCTGGCCATCATCTATAACTTAATGCCAATGCTGGTTTTTTATTATTAGTGAAAAAGTTATATATATATATAAAAATCGTGTGTCAGTATTCGTGATTGGTAGAACACAAACATATTAAAATATAATAAATTAACTAAGTCTCAGTATTTTTTAGTTTTAAAATGTTTTTGTATTTATTTTGATTATTATTTTTATTTACTTTAAATGTTTGATTAGACATATGATGTTCGGTTATTTTCTAAATAAACTTTATTTCTTGCAATAAATATGTTTTGAGTACGAAAACGAAAGTATAACAGAATTGTTTGTTGGATTTTAAATAATAAGTGTAAATAATAATGGCGTCGACGAGTGAGAGCAGCGGTGGAACTGAATTACAAACGACAGAAAAACAGGGTAGACAATTGTCAAATTCAAGTACTAAGTTTGTGATAAATATCTTATATTTTGTGATAATATCTTATAGTTTATTGTGCAGTTGAAGTAGACATATAGTAAATTGTGTCAGTTACACGAAGTTTCAAAAATTGAGATGCAAAACGTCATTCTATTTCTAAATTTTACGATGAATGAATGAATGATACTTGAAAGTTGAGTAAGGAAGCACGTTATACTAATATAATAATAGCACATTACAGATCATACCTGAAGAAGACAGACCAATTGTTTGTAGAAACATGTATGTTTCACTATTAATAAAACTCTTCCTTATGCTTATAAGTCGTTTGCCTCTCTATTATTATTAATATTATGATACTTTAAAGTTTAATATGCTGACAATTTTGAGATAGTCTATGCTTATTTTTTTATTCTACTCTAAATAAGAATGAAACCACATTCAATAATAGCATCAGAAAATTGGGCAAACAGATGTGTAAAAAATAGTTTCAATTTCAGTCTTTTTTTTTTGTTCATAAATCAGTTATTTTTAGAACTTGAATGTTTATGAGATTTATTGATTATAAATAATAATAATTACTTTTACTAATATATATTTTAATACATATGTTAATTTGTTGTTTTTCATATTATGAACAACATAAAACTTGTGTATTTTCAAATTTTGTAGTATTTTAACTAGTTTACGTCTTGTGTTAAATATTTGACTAAAACAACTTAATCTAAGTACCGACAGTGGTGTTTCGTGGGGACAAAACATAGAAAAACTTAAAATGAGCCAATTTATCTAAGATAGAAATGAATGAATAAAATACTGCTCAGAGAACAAAAGTAAAAACTTTTAGACCTAAAAAAAATAGAATGACTTTTTTTAAGTGTAATAAAAGTGAAAAGACAGATTAACAACAATATTCAAATTTGAATATTTTGTTTTATTTAGTTAAAACTCTAGATTAGTAGAAGCTTAAACCCAATCTTGATATGTTATATATTTACATGCAGTATTTTTGTATTTAATTTAGGCTATAAAATTGGTTTCCTTGGTGTTTTGAGTAATAGTAGATTTTGTGTACTAAAGTAATGCAAATGAATGATAGCAGATATGTACTTTAGTGAGAATGAAAAAATATTTGATGTTTTAATAAAGACTGTAAATGTTGAACTTCTTATAACTTATTAAAAAAGCAGCATTGTGAGGTTTGCATCTTTACCATTATGGGGTTGAATGTCTCTTGTAATTCCCAAACTAAAGACTTAGAAAGTGAGCTGAGAAAAGAAAAAAATCTTCAGCTGCTTGCTTTTGAGTTTAAAATTGAAAGACTGAAATAAGTTTCAAGTTGTTAAATTTGTTTTTTTTGTGAGATTAGAACTCTTTTAAATTAACTAGCTTTTAAGTTTTTTTTTTTTAGTCACGGATGAGTGGCTCATAGAATGGCTCTTGAGTTTTTTTTTTGTTTTTCAAGACAAACTTTTAGCTCATAGCTCCATCATCTCTTGACCGATTTGAGGTCTAATTACAGTTTTCAACTCAGGAGGTCAAACTCTTTCAATTGATATACCTGACCATGCCCATGGTCTCATATGTTAATTTATTCTAATCCTGACTAAAAGAATTTCAGTTTGAGGGTAGGCTCAAAGAGATCCTGATGAGTAATAAAATTGAATCAGGTATACACGTGCCCCATGCTTGATATTGCTGGTGTACAAAAATATAGCTAATGAAAAGGGAAACAAAGATCTCATAGATTAATTTACTCTAATCCTGCCTAAAAGAATTTCAAGTGCTGTGGCTAATGAGGATTCACTTTTATTTTAACTGTACAGTGCACACTTATGGATAAAACTGATCTTTAATTTATTGATTTGTTTATTTTTGACATCAGTGATGATATCTGTTACATCCTAATCATCATCATCTTCAATTATTTTGAAACTCAGTAAATGAAAGATTAGACACCCCAGAAAGCTTGCATACACCTGCAGAAGTGTCAGAAGCCACAGATAATGTAGAGGAAGAAACACAAAAAATCGTTGAACAGTGCTGTCATGTAGATGAAAATACTGGTAGGTGGTAAATAAATTTTTTTAGAAAAAAAAGTAACACTAAATCAGTATAATATATATGTATGTATTAATATCTTAACAGTTTTATTGATGCATATCAAGAACATAACAATGTTTAAATATTTTTCTACTTACTTCATTAACCGACAAGGATGTTTATGTGCATTGTTTGAATGTTGTAATAATAATGAGCAAAAAAAAAGGTACTAAAAACAGGTACTAATTAGTCAAGTAAACTTAGAATAGATCCCTAATAATAAGTTAGTTAGGTTACAACCTGTGAATAATAAAAGCAATAATAAATTTTAGAAACATAATGTCACACAGTTTCATATATGATCAGTTCACAGTAGATGATAAAGTGGTAAATATTTCTAAAATAAAATTAGATAATTATCAAAAAGTTTTAAATTTAGGTATTGGTTTTAGTATTTTCCTTAAACAAATTCTTATACATAAAATTGAAAGTAAGCTCATTATAATTTTAACAAGTGTTATAGAAATACTAGAGATTAGTATTTAGGTGTGTTAATTTGATTCTTATATTAGAATAACTTTTATAGAAATGCAAGGAATTGTTTAAATGATCTATGTGTTATTATTACCAGAGCTGAAAAAGGAGGTTGAATTGTTGTTTTGTATATGAAAAAATGTGATGGTGGTTTTAATTTTTTCTAAAGATGGATCTTATTCTTTGATTCAGAAAGATCCTGTGAATGTTGTACATGCTACAGTTACTTACCTCTCTGCACCACTTTCCACCCTTCCTCCCCCCATTTCCTGTGCATTTAGTTTGCCTCTTCAAGAATGAGCCTATGATCATATGCTAATGCTCATGAGGACTACTGCACATGGAGGTTTTATAAGTTCCTGTAATAAACTCTCTGGTAATAAGAACAATATGTTAATGTCAACTTATTTTAACCTACTGAGTCTATATACATTGACAGAAATGTGTAAAACATACAGCTCTCCCAGACCAGTTGTTTCTGAAATTGGTTTTCTACCCAATTAGCTGCTAAACATTGGTAAACTTTTCTTACTATCATCCAGCAGTACATAGGAAATAATGCATTTTAGTTTACTGATATAATTTTTTTAAATTTTGAAGTATAATAAATGATATTTTTAATAGTTTTGAACCCAGAACATTCAAAGAATTGAAGTAAATATGTGTGTCAAAAATTTTCATAGTTATTTTTCTTATCAGTGATACTTTGTATGAGTCTAATTAAATCTAAAGCTTGTTAGTATGGAGAAAACATGAGTGGGTTCTAATTTAGAGTTGATTGCATTAATCTAATTTACTTTTTTATAGTTCATTCACAAATGTTAGAAATGGACACCTGAGTAACATCAGAATAACTCTAGGATATGCTATAACCTTTTTCATATTTAAAACTAATAAAATTATATATGAGAACTGACACCATACAGTTGTAGATTTAAGCTTTATTGGTATTATTTTAGTGGAATTTTAAACTAATTATATTTACAATTCAAACAAATTTTTAAATGTAATTAATCATTAACCATGTAAAGAATTTTGTTAATCTGAAGAAAAAATAGATTCTCTGAAAAGTGCATGTTGTTCTTGCATTTACAATACATGGTACTTGGTGTTTACTAGCTGTTTCATCCTCCATTAGCAATGAAGTGCAGAAAAGGAAATTTAATTTGTCTAGTGGTTTTAAATATAATTATTACATTTTATAATGTTACAATTTTTGTACAATTATAGTACTACTTGTAACTTTGTCAATTTTATTTTGTTCACATTTTTTTTGTTACATCTGTAATTTTGTTTTACAGAGCTTATACGTGAAATTATTATCATAATTGGTATATTGTGCAATAGCCTCTTTATCCACCTCATGATAAAGGAACTAAACATTTCATGAATTGAAACTATTGAGATTACAGCTGTTTGTTTCTGTACGGATGAAAGTGTTTTTTAAATTTTTGAAAGATATTTGTCAGGGTCACATATTTAACACAAAAAAGATCAGGTTTGTGTTGTAACCATCTGTTTTATGTTGAAATCTTATTTAAAATTCTAGAAGAGGTTAATGAGTTGTCACTTGAATAATCTAAATTTTATGTTTTAAATGATTTAACGTATTTAATGAGCCTGCAATTCAGGATAATTCACATGTGACTTTGTATATTCAATATTAAAAACATTCACTTTTTAAACATAAACAGGGTTTGTTTCAATTGCTTCAAGAAATATCCTTTTTCTCCATCATCTAAACCAGAGATGATCAACTTTTTAAGATGCAAGAAGCAAGCAAATTTCTTGGCAAGAAAATACAACTTTAAAAAATATTAGTAAGCAGTAGAACTCTTTTTGATGACTTGCATTTAGTTGAGTGTTTGATGTGGTTTGTCCTTTGCCATGTAACATATTTATAAGTAAGTAAATAAAAAGAAGTAAAATAAGTATTGTCTATCCAGAAATTGGCATTCAATGAAACACTCTTCAATCACTGAAGAGCTGCGTGAAGTTCACGAAATGCTGATGTACTGTAGAATAGTGGGTCATGGAAGTAGTTTGTGCTTGTATAAAACCAATTATAGTTAAATTTTTGATACCTAAAAGTTCTTTTTACAGCTTTATCATGGTTTAATGATTTTCTTAATCATTATTTTGTAGAGGCTAAAGTCTTTACAACATCCTTTCACAATTTATTAATTTATTTAGCACCAGCAGATGAAGAGAAACCAGTGTGTCCCGATAATGGCTCAGAATTTCAAGATCTGAACAGAAGACATTCACTATCAGCCCCTCAGTATAAACCTAGAAGCCTAGATGAGGAAATTCAGGCAACTCCAAAAGTTAATTGCCCTGAAAAAATTGTAAGTTGGCATTTGATCTGTAAAATTTATTTCTTGATTTTGAACTTTACAAAATCCAGAGATTTTGTTTTATATCTTATAAGCTGAGGTACCCATCCTTTGTCCATCTCATGAACTAAAAAAATGTGGGGGCTCTTCACATCAGCCTTGTTGTGGCTGTTGGAGCTGAAATTTGAGCTGAGTATGTGTTATTGCAATAGTGGCCATTTTTTTTTCATTGCATTACTTCATAGATCATGCTAGCTCACTGTCTGAGATATATAAGATGTTTGTGTGGCCTCCCCTATCACTGTGTTTATGTTGTGTTATAGAAAATTTAATAAAGTTTTTTTTTCTTTTTTTGGTGTAAGGACATGGTGCTATCTGTAAATGTAGTTAACTTAGTCAAAGATAATAAATGCTCAATAAAAGCAATAATGAGAGATGGGGGGATTGTAAACCCCTCATTAACATGCCGTTTATTCCAAACCATCATCCCACAAAGTTTGTTTGAGATTGGCCCAGCGACCTAGGAGTAGTTAGATAACAAACAAACAGACAGACACAGAGATTTATATATATATAAAGATTCTAAATACAGTTGAATTATGTTACGTTTAGCCTGAGGTGTTACCTTTTGTAACTTTATTGGTCAAGATAAGTATTTACTGTTTTGTGGGATATTTGAATTGTATTCTGATTGACCTTGTGTTTCTGGATACTTTGTGATTTTCAGGTGCCCTTTTTTTCTGATTGGTCAGCTACAGACACTTTCAAATAAAACTTCTGAAGAAAACAGATTGTTTCTCTCAGAGTAAAGGCTTACCGTGGAAGTTCTATCTTTGTGTCACTGCATTTTCTCCTGCTGAGAAAGCTAAGGTTTGCTGTAGATGTCCTGTCTTTGTGTCACTGTATTTTCTCCTACTGAGAAAGCCAAGCTTTGCTGTAGATGTTCTATCTTGTGTCACGATATATTCATTCCGAGAGAGCCAAGGCTTGCTATGGATGCCCTATCTTTGTGTTACTATTTATCCATTTCGAGAGAGCCAAGATTTGCTGTGGAAGTCTTGTCTTTGTGTCACTGTATTTCTCCGTACTGATTGTGGGCGCTGCTTTATTGTATTTACTTTTTCATTTAAACATGGTTTAACTCTCTTCATGTTTTTACATTTAACTAATTTTATTTGGAATAGATATACTACTACCTGATGGTCAGTAACCAAAAACTTTGCTGAAACAAATTGTTTTGTTTTGATTTCAACCTTGTCATGATATAAAAGAATTTTATTTAGATATTAGTGACTAATTTATTTTTGTTTAGTTTTTGTTATAATAAGAGTTAAAGCAGATGATTGTAGGAAGTTTTGTTAATAATTCATTGATGTTAGGAATATCGAATGTCACGTGCAATATATTGACGTCGAGAATATAGAAGATGGACAGATGATTAGGTAATAAAGATATAAATAGTGTGAGACGAGCGAGAAGCAGCAGACAAACAGAAGCAGACAGATAATAGCAAAAGAGAATAAAGTTGGTGTGAAGTTAACTACTGTAGAAGTGATAGGCCTAACATTTAATATGTTGAAACTAACAGTAGAAAATAAGATAAGAAAAATAATTTTATTCTGTAAAATCAGAATCAGCCTGAGTGCGCTTTGACAAAAGGAACAGAGGATTTTCAAGAGAAAGAATACCAAACGATTACGGTAACTCGTGCCACAATTGTAAGTGAATCACAGAGAATACTAGTGCGATAGAAATAGAGAATATAGTTTGGCTTGTCAACTGAAATTCTAAAGTAATTGAATAAGCCTAAGTGAATATTTGACAAGAAGGAGAGAACTACATATATAGTATTTATGATATGTAATAATATTTATAGTGTTGAGGAATTTATTGTGTATACATTAACTTGTTCCGAATATATGTATTACTTTGAAAACAAGTGAAGTGCGTGATGTTTATTCATTGTTGAATTTATAGCTAACAAGTCACAGACACCTACTGTAGAAGAATTCTAAACCCAAGAACAACATAGTATATATTTATATACTGTTAAGAAATATAGCTAAAAGCTTTTCTATTTGACAGTTGGCAAAAAGGAAAGTTATATATATATGTATATAATTTTAAATTCTGACAAACATCCTGTCTTGCCTCTTTCATTTTACCTGTTCTTCTGCATATTAGATCTACAAATCTGTTGTTCTTGTGAACTAGGTTTATTCTTGAATTAACTATATATATATATATATATATGTATATATGTGTGGGCTCAGCCTTTTTGACCAACCTTATAACCTCCAGGCAATCTTGAATTTGTCCATACT